GCCTTGGAAAGTAATCTTTCAATCTAGCTCTTCCACATTGGTTTTGTCTCATGTCTGTCCAGTGAATGAGAAACTTAGCTCTTGACAACATCTAGTATGAGGTTTTCTTTTCCTACTCTGTATTGTAAGTGTGTATCTTTTCTGATTTAATTTCCCAGGCCACTTAGTTCCTATTGTTTTGAAAGGTGTCTCTCTCGAAAGTTCTAGTCTCTCTTTTTTAAAGACAACCTAAATACTACTTCTGGTTGCATCTCCATCAGTATGTTTTACTGTTTCTCACGTGATAATAGTTTGTGGACTCATGTCAGCTAAAAAAACACACAAAACAAAAAAACCAACCTCACCATCAAACCAACAATATGTATGTGATATTCCACTCTTACATTGCAGTGCTATCTGCTGCTGCATCATGAGGTCTCAGAGGTCGTGGTTCTGTTCCCATTCTCATATGATGTTGCACACACTCTGGTCATTTTTAAGTCTTATAAATCAATATAAAGACTGTGGTGATTTCTGCCCCCCCAGTAGACATAACTCTCATTTGTGTAATTTGCCACATAATAAACAGATTGACATGCTTTTTCTTGTGGACATCAACACAAATTCTGAAAAGGGTTTTTATCCAACATATCTACTCTTTCAATGGTTAGGTTGTCAACCATATCCACAGTGTCAAATCACCAAGTCGTCTGGCAAATTTTCAATTGCTGTCTAGAAGTTGACTCTACCCCTTCTGACCTTCAGCCTTTAAGATGAATGCAGGTACTATCATTACTGTTCAAAGTCTTGAAGCTAGGTGAGGAAAGAATGGCCCACAAACGCCCAACTTCTGTGTGCCCAACTTCTCTGCAATGCAGATAATCACTCCTTTTGCAGCTGCAGCTGATATTCCTCTATAACAATATACAAGCCTTTTTAAGAATTGAGGAATGCAAGGGCTTAAGAGTTTTTCCCCCCTCATACTTGCAGGTGGATGCAACATTTCAGCTTAAAGTACTGTTTTAAATTTCAGCAGAACTAGAACTGCACAAAATTGGAGCTTTCTATATTCTTGCAAAATTCCCTGTAACAGAAATTCAAATCTGTGCTATTTCCAATACGTTTATGAACGTGCCTATACTAGGCTGGAGCATGAGACTTAAGATAAAGACTTCTTTTGGTTTCAGTAGCTTTCAATTACACATAATGACTGCTAAATTGGAAGCAAGTTTCTATTACAGTTGTTTCTCAGCCTGCAATGAAATATCAGACAGTGATGTAACGATACTATTAAATGACACTTAAAAAAAGTGTACACCTAACTCCTAGTGCCTGGTTCCTTTAAAAAAAAAAAGTGTACTGCTGATGAATAAGACAGTTGAAAACAAAGTAGTCTTTTCACTGTCATTAGTTAGGAAAGAATTGAGCTAATTGAGTATTTGCTGAAACTACTCAGTCAACTGCAATACAATTTTTTTTTTTAAATCTATACAAATATGTATTGACATACAAAACTGGAAAATTGAGAAAAACAAAATTCATAAGTTCCAAAACTTGGCTTAGTACCAAATAGTCAGCTCTCACTGAGATTCATATTTTAGTAAAAACACTGTATGAATGGAGGTTTTCAGATCTGAATGACAGACGCCTACGTGCCAGAAGAATTGAAACAAGAATATGGGGAATACCAGTGGTACTAATAAACGAGATCTCTCCTGCTCATCCCTTGTTTTGGTTTCTGCCCTCTATGATGAGGGTGTTAATAGCTGCAGTTGGTCTCCTTAGTGTTTCCACTAAAAAGCAAATACAAAATTCAGTTTGCAGAAGCTATCATTTCTACTAAGAATTTTCAAATCTGTCACTGTAAAATAAAAAATTACTGAGAGGAGAGCATGATGAGTCTGGTGAATACTTCCAGATTTAATATCTGTTTTCTTCAGTTACCCAGTGAACACCTTATGAAAAGCTTTGTTAACAGAAAACTAGTGAGCTTTTAGTTTCAGAGCTAGCCACCAACATACCTGTCATCAGGTCTCATGGCTTATCTGTGGTATGTTCTCAATATTTTGGGAATGGAGTATAGAAAAGGTGGCTCATCCACCTTTTCAATCCTGTTAAGGATATTAATCCATGACGCTGCAACACAATGCAAGCTTAAAAAGTTACTATCTTCCTGGAGTGAAGATTTAATTTTGTGTGTCAAATAATAAAAGCTTTGGGGTTCTGTATGGCTTTTTCTGAGTTTCTCAGAGGAAATTCCTGCCATATAACCCCCCGTACATTATACTCTTTTAAACAATTCATGCAGGTAATTTACCATTAGGTTGCTACCCTACACTTCACAAACTTGAAGCTTGTTTAGCAAGACAGAAACCCTCCATTCTCTACCGAGACAATGAAGGGTTAATTCCCCAACTGGAGAAGTTTCAGTCTGACTGTCCTTGCTTCACAGTAGGATAGTGACAGATTCCAGCAAAGAATAGAAAGGAAAAATGCAGCCAAGTAAGGAAAACACTTTGGTCAAACAAATATGTTAGGCAAACCTCAATGTCAGAAGCACAAAGACAGGAATAGCACAAGCCTGCACTGCAGAGTTAAAGCTTAGTTACTTTTACAGGAATATTCTTCCTCACATAGAAACTACCACAAAAGTCTTGGGAGGTAAAAAAAGTTGGTTGCTGAACAGCTTGAAAGTGAAAAGTCAGCCTTGCATCAATGTAGTTAAAAAAAGATTCTATACTTGAGGCTACAAAGCACTAATATTCTAAGTTACAGAATCCATATTGAAACTGAAGATAAAAGGAAACCCTGTAAATGTTATAAAATTTTACAATCAAAAGCTAGATAACTGTCTTCCTACATGATAATCAAGGAAAATTTCCAACATGGACATTATTCTCCGTGCTACTATCATCAAGATGTCAGAAAAGTAAATAAAAACTATTCTGAGGACATCCTTTCTGTTGTACTGCTTGAAATTAAAAAGATTTCTTCATAGATCACTGGTTTCATGATAATTTCTACAAATGTTAAACAGTTCTATTGGAAAACAAAATCGTCCTATAAGTCATTAATCTTAATGTCATAAGTCATAATCACCCTATAAGCCATAATCGCCCTACAGAACAACGCATTCCCCACTAAAAGGATACCAATTTTATACATGCATGTTTTAAATACCTGAATTTCAGCATCAGTTGCATATTAAACAGAAAATACAGCCTAAACGTATTCGCTTAAAAAAACCACAAAAATATGTATTTCCTCATAGATAAAAATATGAAGGAGCAGGGAAAAGAAAAAAACAAAACCCTGAGAAACACAAGAGCTACATTTATAGGAACACAGCCATTTACAAAATGCCTCTTTTTTTTTTTTTTTAAATGGTTGCCTTTCAAGCTGTGCCAACACTATAATGAACATAAAAGACCTGCCTCCCTAGCAGATTTAGAAGAATAAACCATTACTACATTAGAGAAAAGAGGCTCAGAAATTTCCACCAATTGGCAATTGGCAGCAAAGCAATTCTTTATTTGCCAAACCCCACAAAGCCCTTGGGCACCAACCTCTACATATACCAGCAGTGAACAAACAAACAAACAAAAAATCCCTATTGCCTAAAACTGCGGTCAGCCCTTCACTTTGGAGAAACAAACAAAAAACCCCCAGAAGTCTCTATCCTCCTAGATAAGCAGGAGGCGGCTTTTATTATCCGGGCGTTTAAAAGTCACAGGTCTTCTAGCTGGGGCACTATATCGCATGCCCACTTAAATGACGATTACACTACGGTTGTGCAAGCAAAGGCTCTTTCCCAAAGGCTTTTCTTCCAAATAGAAGAGAGGTCTCCACATTTATGCACTACTACTGCTGGAACAGTTTACACAGAGAGGCAGTTGTAAGGAGCAGCTCTTCACAGGCTGTTAACAGTGAGAACTAGGGACTTCCCAATCCTACTTGAGAACACCTACATCTACATCTGCAGTCCAAGTTTGATTATTGCCTTTAACATCGAAGGGCAGTAGGAGGTACTGCAGCTATTAGAAATCCTATTTTGGAGCATTACCAAGGATTGGTCATCTTCACTGTGGACTGAAGACAGCCATCATCCACCATGGGTGACAGTAATGTGCAAACAACACATGTGAGATTTAATTTTAATTAATTTTATTGATCCCTGATGCACTATTGCAACTTTCACCTCAGTGCAGACCAGTAAGTTTCTACTGTATTAAAAATGCAATAGAAGAGGTGAATCCGAACTGAGAATCCTATTTTTCTGCAGTTTATTTTCCTGATTCTTTCTATCTGCTTGCTTAAGAAGATTAAAATCATCTTACCTGAGACAGTAACAGAAGACTTCATGGATAGAAAAGACTAATTACTGCATAATAAATATTCTCAAAGCTGTTTTATGACAAATTGAATTAAACATGACCAAAACACATTTTGGATGTTCCTAGAAAGGATTCTCTCTTAATACAGCTCGTTAACAAATCTCATTAAAAATCAAACCTACTAGAAAAACTAAAGAGCACAACATTATAGTGACACCAAATACTGAAAATCAAGAGTCTCAGTGATCCATTTGCCTCGCTATATTTAATACCAAAAGAACACAAGAAGTTCTTTTCAAGTACTTAGTTATAAAAAGTATATCCACAGCACACAGAAGATAACCAGAGAGACAGACCTCACATCGAGACAATCTGGGCAAGTGCACTTGTTCTGCAATACATTTGCTAGCAACTTTCAACACTGCAAAGTGCTTTAAGTAGCCTATAGGATTACAATCTTTTTTTTTTTTTTTTACTTCGAGTGTAGTGGTCAACTTTTGCATTATAGACAATTTAAAATATTAATATCTAAAAAAAATTTAATACAAATTTTTAAAGTTGCCATTTAACTGCCCTTATTCAGAAGCAGGTTAAAGCATATACAGTAACAATAATTCAAGTTACAAACATAAAGAAGCTTAGATTAATTCATAATTATTAGAGGGTCACAGCAATTTATTCTCCTACCTGCTTTCCATCCAGTGTACAAAGTCTCTTGACTACACCCGAATCTAACTTAATGGCTTCTGTGATGTCAGTCAAGACCTGTTCGAAGGAGTGAGCAGTCTTCTTATTCAGCAGAATTCTCACAGCTTTCCGTGGTTTTACTCCACTCCTAATAACAGTCACTAATTTGGGTTTAATGAAGTCTTTACTCTCCTTCACTTCACTCTTTGTGGATGTCAAAGATGTCAAGGATCGAGTGGACCCAGTCCTTATGTTCACACACCAGTTTGGATTGACATTCTTGGTGTAATCAACTTTGCGATACGGTTCGTTAGATGCACATACATAACTTTCACCTGAAAAGAAGATGACATTTTCATAATTTAAGGGGTTTTGCAGCTATTTTTTGTCAGTTAAAAAACCCCAAAAAAACCAAATTTTTCAGAAGGAGTGATTTCCCTGTATTTCAACTGCAGGCCATTTTAAATGGAGGACTGTAAATTATCAGAGCTTTCCACCCGAACAATACTCTCAGAGTGGTTTCAACAGGTTTCAAAAAAACTCTGGTTAAGAAATAAAAGAAGAAAAGGAAAGGGTAATGAGGGGGTTGAAGATATTTCCCATTTCTTTTGGATCATAAGTTCTGACTGCAGACTTCTTTTAGAAGTGCTTACATTACTTGAGTTCACAATACATGACATTAAGAGCATTATCCTACAACAAATACCCAGGTCCGTCCCCATATATTCATCAAGTATATGCTTCAAGACGTGTACACACATACCTATGTTTAATAATTAATTATTTTAAAAGGAACAACTTTTAAACAGAATAAAATTTAAGCATCTCAAGATCCTTGCCCTGAAGGACACATTAATTTACCAGGAGTTACTGCCCTTCTACCAAGGGTACACTGTTGAAATGTATTCACTTCAACATTTTTTAGACCAAACACCAGCTGTGGCCACAAATGAGATTCTGAGACTACAGGAATATGAAACGATATCTATAGTTCCCCATTTTAATTTCTTACCCAATTTATTGAATTAAATATGCATGAAATATCATGCACTGCTGATATTTCCTGAAGTCATGAAAGGGAGGTCAGAGGACAAAAACATGTTATCACACACACCTTTACATCAAATTTTTTGAAGTGGCACCAGTCATGATGCAGACCTAAGGAATTTGTTACTTTTCTCCATTCCATGACATAATGCAAGGCTGGAGACTAACTGGCTTTTTTTGTTCTTGTTGTTTGAAGAAGACAGTTCTCTCTTCAAACTGCTGCTTGTTGCTTATCACAACTCCTTTCATGTCTGACAGCAATATGCAAGATGCAGACCATGACAAAGGACATCGTTAACTCTGGGTTATTTCTGTAGCCCATATCCTTGAGGTCTCACAAAATGACATCCAAAGACTTTCTCAAAGAGGCAGAGTATTGCCAGAAGGATGAAAGGGAAGCATTCCAAACTGATGGAAAACACCATTTCTCCAGGCAGAAGAGCTACCTACATCTTAAAAAGCTTAACCTGTTCTAAGAGTAAAGCTACACACTCTCAAGGTCACTGGTGGAACAAACCAAACTCACCTCCTATATACACAGCAAGAGGAGTAAAGAATACACATACATCTACTGGACAGTACTGCAAAAGTTAAAAAATGTACACCTATGTTTAGATACACACTAGAAAACTTTTAAACAATACTTTTACTTTCTGAACTCTAGTTTGGAGAGCTGATACAGCTTAGAAGTTGTACAGCTTATTCTAAAGGCAATACAGTAAACTACTTTCAAACATGTGAAAAATTACTGTGATCTGAAAGACTTTTTCGTGTTTCTTTTCCCACACCAATGACATTTCTTTCTAATTTATCTTGTATTTAGACCTTCTTGAAAGCTTGTTTGCTGTATTGAAGAAAACAGATTATAAGAAGTTAACAACAATTTTGTTTGGGAAAGTTTGGCAGCCAGCTCTGCCTCCACAAACATCACTGGGAATGTACTCCACTGAGGTACAAAGAAAAAATTTACTTTGAGGTTTTATGGATGCTACTGCCTTGCCTTTATTTTTCCTCTTCACTCATCCCCGTCATTCCTCCTCATATTCACAGACCAAGTGGTACACAAAACAGAAACCAACACAGACAAACACAGACTCCTCCTCTTTCCCCCAAAAAATGAGCAAAGCAAATTGAGCTGTTTTCAGCCCATAAACTCCTTGAACAGGATTTCCACACACCTGCATGCACACTAGCACTAATCTACAAGGGGGGGGAGGGGGAGGAACAACCACACAGCTAGAAGCTTGTGCTGTCCCAGAACTACATGCTGAGTTGCAACAAGACTCCAAGCAATCTGATTTAATCAGACCTGCTTAAAGCAAGATATTGGATGAGATGACCTCAGAAGGTCCCTTCCAAACTAAATTATCCTATGATTCTAAATAAGTGGACAGTTCTCTTTCAACAGAGGTGTTCAGAACCTGAAAACAGGTCATCTGCCCTGTTACTGTGAAATAGCATGAGATGTTCACGTTTTGTTACAGCAGCACAGCTGCAACAGAAAGCAAAATCTTCCCTCTCTACATCTTCTAATACTAGATTCAAAGGACTATGCTTATTTTCTAAACGATTTCTAATAAGCCATGGAGTGGTCCATCTCTAAACACAGGGCTGACAAAAAAGAAGCATCTCAAAGAAGCTGGTAGTTCTAATTCATATCAATAGACTTACTAGCATTGTAACTGCTGATCATTTTGTTATTCTCCTCTCTAGAACTAGTTTACTGTGTGACAGAGAACCCTGGTGTGGTTTAACCCCAGCTGGCAACGAATTACCATGCAGCCGCTCACTCACTACCCCATGGTGGGATGGGAGAGAGAAAATCAGAAGGGTAAAAGTGAGAAAACTCATTCGTTGAGATAAAGACAGTTTAATAGGTAAAGCAAAAGCCACGCACGTGAGCAAAGAAAAATAAGGGCTTCATTCACAGCTTCCCATCGGCAGGCAGGTGTTCAGCCATCTACAGGAAAGCAGGCCTCAATCACACGTAACTTGCTACTTGGGAAGACAAATGCCATCGCTCTGAATGTCCTCACTCTTCCTTCTTCTTCCCCCGGCTTTATATGCTGAGCACGACGTCATGTGGTATGGAATATCCCTTTGGTCAGTTGGGGCCAGCTGGCCCAGCTGTGTCCCCTCCCGGCTTCTTGTGCACCCCCCCGTCCCCCCCCGCCTGCTCGCTGGTGGGGTGGGGTGAGGAGCAGAAAAGGCCTTGACTCTGTGTAAGCCCTGCTCAGCAGTGACTAAAACACCCCTGCATTACCAACACTGTTTTCAGCACAAACCCAAAACATAGGCCCATAGTAGCTACTATGAAGAAAACTAACTCTATCCCAGCCAAATCCAGCACAAGTCCCTTAGGACAATTTTTTCCGTGATTACATGCTAAACTTTTCATGGATGCACCTAGTAAGTGACTTTGTTTCTTGTATTGGTTAGGAATGTTAATTAGTATTTCCTCCTCCAAAAAAATTAACAGAAGGTAATTTAGTCATTATTCTGGATGCCTAATATTAGGCATTCAACTTTGGGAAGTCCCTGACCACTTGCTTTGAAGTTTATTCATCTGCATAAGACTTTGGTAATATTTAATCATCCTCTGATAATAGTTTATATATAAACAAACTTGACAGCATCGTGTGCATGAGAAAACCTTCCTAAACACACCGAGAGCCGCTAGCATCTCAACGATTTTACATAAGCTTCAGTACATGAAATCACCTATCACTTCAGAGCAATGTCTTCAGTACAGCCTGTCCAGCTGTGTGCAAGAGAGTTAAATGAATTCTAGCAATCAGCACTACTGGTACCTCAAAATTCACCATCATTGAGGATGTCTGGAATTATCCTTTCCAACTCAAAAAGAATGTACTTCCTAGACTACTTTTTTAAGCTAGACAGGTTTTTAAAAAAACACACCAAATGCACACACGATAATTCGAAGTTAAACCTCAGGGCTGAAGCTTAAATCAACAAAGTTTAAAAAAAGCAAACAACCCACAAAAAAACCTCAAAATTAGGGCTATTCAGGAACAGGCTCTCCAACTTGAAATAAATTAATTGCTGTACACAAAGAAGTACAGGTGGAGAACAAAAGGTTCCTTTACTAGAGGACTTACCATAGAAGAGCCTCAATATGGTATGCTAGCTTTATATTATGATACATGTCCACAGAAGATAGCCTCTTTACACTATCATGGAATGTGATCTACTATCTGCCAGAGCTGTACTACAACACAACAGAAATTGTCCCATTATAAAACTTTCAGTCAGTATTAATCCAAAAGGATCTTAACTTCTTTTAAAATAGCAGTGTAAAACTCTTTC